CAGTTCAGCGTCCACCGATGTCCCTCCCCAACCCCTTCTAACCACACAAGCAAAAGTCGCTGGGCCATTTGACTGTCAGTCATCTGACCGAGGGGCCTTAGGCTCCTCGCTGCCTACAAACATTAAACAATCTGGATAGAAACCGATAGCATGTTATATCGTTCAGTGTCCCCAACCAAGTACAGGGGGGGGGCGTCAAGTAGGAGACAAATAGCATCCACGGCAACCACATTTCTATCTTGTCACCTTGTCCACCTTGAGGGTTTCCGCCACCCTGATGGAAAACAGTGCTCCTCTTGGCAAGCGGTGACTCGGCATGACCAGCCGAATACATTCTTTGGGTAAAGCGCCGTCTGTCTCCTCATTGCGAACTCGATTATTCGAGCAACAGTTCTTCTGAAATAGCAGGAGTCAAAGAGGTCTCAGATCCTTCACCAGAAGCTCACAGCCGCACAACACTGCAGCCCATCCGATGCACCCCTTTTTGAGGCCATAAGTGACCCTAATTGGCAAACGCAATTCCGGTCTTTGAGGTTCGTGCGTTGACTTCGTCTGTCACACTATCTTCAGACATGATGCCCCCTAATTGGCGCAATTCCGGTCTTTGAGGTTCGTGCGTTGACTTCGTCTGTCACACTATCTTCAGACATGATGCCTGTATAAAAGTACAGAGAGGCTTGATGGGACCGGAGTTTGATAAATGGAAGAGAGTGGAGCAGTCGGGAATTCACGAGAGCTGCTTTAGCTAGCCCGCAAAACAAGAATCAAGAGATTCGCCATTGATCAGGTTGCTCAAGAGTCGAGACCTAATAAACCTAATCTACTCAGACTCCAGAACATTGGGTAGAATATTCGCAACATTTCAACTGTCCATCTACGTCGAAACCCTGTGTCTTAAATCAAAAATCGCTCAACTAAATACCACTGTCTGTCAGTTGAGGTTCCGAATCAGCTAACAGTGTTCAACTGCCATTCTACCCGAGGAACTGACGAGGGCTGGAAGACTACCAAGCTGCCCAAGTCTAGATACAAGCAGTCGAGACGTTTGGGGTGGGTGTGGACCACGGGCCTTCCTGTTTGACCATGAACCATCCCGAGCTCGGAAAGTAGATTAGGCATCCCACAAATTAGGAATCATCTTTATTTCGGTTATGGAGGGGAACGGGCATAAAAAATAAAAGTTCCGTACCGCTTCCTCAGTGGCGGTAGTTGGAGGGTACTGTATTTAACCTTATCGTGACCTAATAAGAGGGGCAATTGGTTAAACATGACAACACATCGTCATTATCGGTTGGAAACAACACATACTCGCCGTATGGGGGTGAGATGGCCCAAGTGGTTAGAGCGCGAATTTACTGGCCGAAAGGTTCGTGGTTCGAACCCGACCTCTGCCTCTCGACTTCCCCTGTCTAGGCTTGGGCAACCTGGCAGTATCCCAGCCCTCGTGCAACCCTCGGGTGGCATGGCAGTTGAGCACCGAAAGGGTGCTAAAGCT